CTCTTTTTGGGAAGTTGTATCACAATTTTTTGTCAAGAGATACATATTTAGAAGTATATTAAAGAAAATTATGAAAAGGTAGTGAAAAATATATTTAAATCATACAATTAAATTAATATTTTTAGTACGCGCTGAAAGAAAAAAACATAAATATTGCACTATTATTGATATGATCCTTTACTTGTAGATTTTATTCTATATATACATGAATTTATATGTTCAATGTAACTCATACGTGTTAAACATGCGCATCAACCACGACATATCAATACGTGAAGAAAACAAGGAAAAAATCACCATCATTTTTTCCATAATTTTAAATAAAATTCTAAAATCAACAATAAATTTTTAAATAGAGCAAAAGAGAAACATTGAAGTTTTCTTTATTGACGGACGTTAGCCGGGTTTTTTTATTTGTCATCTAGATTTAATATTAATACCGAGAAAAATTACATAGTACAAGCCTATATTAGTTGTCAACATACACACCAACGGACGTTGGCCAATGTTTGGTTTTTATTCTTCTACCCCAAAAATATTACAATCTTAGATCCTAAATATAAAGAGATAATATCACATTTAGTATATATTTCCGCCGATGAACAATAGGCAAAACTCTTCCAAAAGTTTTTATGACATATATGTCCGTTTGATTCAAAGCTGATGAGTATATCTCACCGTGAGTCCAAGCAATTTATGGAATCCATATTAGATTTAGGTTTGTTGTTTATATAAATTTGAATCAATATTGTAGGTTAACTTACATATAATTGAGAAAAACAAAGAACTCAAATGATTCTTGAACTGATTTATATAAGAATTTATAGCCAATGCATGTGAATTTATGTCTAAACTGTTAGGATTTTAATCCAAATCCCACACTCGAAAAAATGATTTCTTAACGAAGAAATAAAGACACAAATTATAGTGACCTTGAGCGGCATTTATATTTGGAGAAATTACAAAAATGTCATTTTATGTACATATTTGCAAAAATGTTATTTAGGAGTGTTCATTTGCAATAATGCCACTAATTATAGATTTTTAAACCCTATATCTTAAAATTCTATACACTAAAAAATGTTTTGACCTCTAAACCCCTTTAAACCCTCGTAACTAAACCCTAATAGAACATAATTAACCAAAACATAAATAATATAAAAAAAAATAATTTTGAAAAAATGGCATTTTTATAAAGATTTCAAAAATGTGGTATTTTTGTAAAATGGCATTTTAAAATTTATCTTTATATTTCTCACCAAGCATAGACGGGTTTCACTATATCTAATTTAGATTTCTAACAAAAAGTTTTCTCTCTTTGGATTTTATATTTAATATTAAATGACCTGTCTAACACAACATGATAGTTTGGCCGAGTGGTCTAAGGCGCCAGATTTAGGCTCTGGTCCGAAAGGGCGTGGGTTCAAATCCCACAGCTGTCAGCTCCTTTATATTTTGCTGATTCTTTTTTTTTTTGTCTTGTTTTAAAATCAATATAACACAACACTCTTCCGAAATCTCTAAATGTGATTGGTAAATCTGGGTCAAGGTCAATTACGCATAGTATA